ACAAATCGCGAGTTAGGCAACGCCCAAACGTATCACTGACGTTTGTCGGCTTGTCATTGTGTCTGAAAGTTTATCAAACGAAATCATTTGCAAACTCTTTAAAAATGTTTTTTTTATATCCCCGACAAAATGTCGGGGGTAAATAGTTATACCAAGATTCTGTCCGTCCATCCGTCCGAAAACTTTGTCCGCGCGAGTTTTTATTAATTTTCCATTTTTTTATTAATTTTTCAAACCCTAATGTCCATCTGAAGACTTTTTCAGCCCGGTTTCTCTTAAACTGCTCAGTGAATTCATCTCAAACTTAGTACATATAATCTGTGTCATATGGAGGGATGCAGTCAAAAGAAAAAAATTGTCTTTATTAATTTTCCATTTTTTTATGAATTTTTCAAACCCTAATGTCCATCTGAAGACTTTTTCCGCCCGGTTTCTCTTAAACTATTCAGTGGATTCATCTCAAACTTAGTACATATAATCTGTGTCATATGGAGGGGTGCAGTCAAAAGAAAAAAATTGTTTTTATTAATTTTCATTTTTTTTATGAATTTTTCAAACCCTAATGTCCAAACCCTAATGGACTGCATGTCACTCAATGTGAAGTGCCAAAAGTCAACAATGGCCGTTTCTGGTAGGGGTGCAGGCTAAAACGTCACCTCAGCATAACGTCACCAAATTCTCTGGCTAAAAAACGGGACCGCATTTGGTGAAAACGGCTACTATGTGACGGGCGAAAATGGCACCTCTGCTTTTAATAACGATAAGAACGATTTATGTTGTAGTATATCTGATTTATGTTATTTGTTACATATTATTTGATGTATTTACATGTTCTTTCCTGTTTTCCAGTTGTTCACAGACAACTACATACATTCACATATATACAGTTCTTCACAGTTTTCATCTTCATCTCATGTTTACAATATCGGCCCATGTACCACCGAGCATTGTGATAGTAGCTGATTCAGGGGGCTAATTTCTAATGTAAACTTGTTTGAACTTTTCACAATTATTGGTTTTTGTTAGCGACGATGTAAGTTTAATTTCATTTATTTTTCTTCAAGACATGTTATGTTTTCACAATAAGTGTAGTTGCGTATAGGCTAAGTAGGAATATAGTTGGAGTAGAGACTAATTTCTAATGTAAACTTGTTTTAACATTTCACAATTATTGGTGTTTGCAAGCGACCAGGTAAGTTTAATTTCATTTATTTTACCAAGGTGAAAAAAAATAGGGTGCTGTTTTCGCCAGGCAATAGTAGCCGTTTTTGCTTGAGGCGAGGTGATGTTTTCGCCAATCGGTGCTGTTTTCGCCAGGTGACGTTTTGCTGAGGTGCTGTTTTAGCTATAACCCTTCTGGTAATTGTGTGCCGAGAAGTTTGGCCGAAACTTTTTAAACTCGCGATATTTTCTTTTTGAGGTAATTAAACTCCTGAAAGTTTTAATATTGAGCAAGCTGAGCATTTATGCATGTCATACGTAATTTTAATGTTACGCAAAGCCTTCTTGGTAATTAGATATGGTGAGAACCCCAATATGCATAACTCGCTTAATTTTAATGATAATTATTCAGCATTTCTTGGGATGATTTACTGGATATTATGACAAAATAAGAAATGTAATTTTTATGTATTATTCTCCCATTACAAGGTTTACCATGGTTTATTATTTTCACACAATTTGGATAACCATGACCTCTGTCAGACCGGGACTACTTTTTTCATTCATAAAAAAATTGCAAGGCGTCATTCATTTTGCAACTACAAATACGAACTGAAGCAATCTCATGAGAGCGAGAGACATCAACAAACACTTTATAAACCAAACAAGATACTGAAGATAGTCACATGCATCAAATTTGGTTTGCATTCTATATAAGTTATGCATAGAGCTTCTACAGACATTATATAATCAAGCTATATCCATTTACAATGTACGACTTCCGATCAATAGATCGATGGTCCGGGTGAGCGTGACGCACCCGACCACTTTCGCAACTTTCAATTTGATTTCACGGAAAAGGATAAGCGTGGTAAAATGAAGTCAGTTTAAACTATCTGGTCAGATATCTAGACTTACTTGGGATATTTGGTTGTGCCATCAGTGTCCCCTTCGAAGCGTATTTTGTGGCACTGTTTCGGGAGTTGTTTGTTCATGACTGCACGACCAGATCACTCAAAGTGAACATTTCCGATACAAATCATTCTAAAACTCCGTAGAAGTGTGCCTGATTTCTGATTGTGTGGCCCAAAATATCCCAGATGTGAACAATAACATTCCCTATCTCTAGCGCAAAAGCTGTGATAAAATCACGGTTGTCTTTTCTTATTCCGGTGGTGACCTTGCCCTTCGTTCGAAGCTGTCACTGACATACAAGCAGACTTCAGTTTGTTGATTTTCACGTCTTCAGTATAGGGTGGTACAGTTGACACGCATGTCTTTGGCGAACACTCTGATTCCCTCTTCCAAAATGGTACGGACATGATATAAATTTAGCTGATCGACCAAGGAAACCGAACCATTTTGAATGCACTGTGTGAGTGACCGACTGTTGGTCTGATATTCAAAGCGCTGTACTAATGTGACTTTTAAGATTTTCTTATTGGTCTCCTGCGTACTAACAACATGGCGCTTGGATTACCATAAGTTAAAGAAATTCTTCCAAAAGGATCTTGAGTGTTGGTGGTGTTATGTTTGCAAACACAACTGCAGGTGCATGTTGTTAATGCGTATGCATAGAAATGTCAACAATGCCCATATTTGGGCATATGTCAATATTCATGAGCAACCAGATTTTGCAACCAGTTTCAGTTTGGTCTGTCAACGAACGAAATCCGTTATGTATTTACACTTAAATATCTATTCAACGTGGGTACTAAATAAAATACAACACTCATTCTGGTTAGATACAATTTTTATGAAACTCGTGAACTTTCTATGGTATCTGACCTTGCTTTCACTTGGTCCGATACCACTGTAATAGATGCGCCTTGCCTGAGGCGGCCCAGTGACAGCAGAGTTCACTGGCTCCACGGAGTGTTCTAGTTGGAATCCCACTGCTGACTCATGGCCCTTTGCGTTGTGTTTTATTTGATGTTAACTGTCTGGTTTAACCATGAGTCAGCTAACTGGGGACACTCCTGTGAGACTCTGTGGTTGGGTTCATGCATCCGGCGGGTGAAAAAGGACAAAAAGACTTGTTGAAAATATAATGATTTTTAATACAACAAAAGTAAACTGATTAATAAAATATAAAATGAAGAAATCCAACAATCTTACGGAAGGAAGCTATCTATTCCTACTCAAAACCTTCTTAATCCTAACCGGGGGCACGGGTGGCCCAGTCGTCTAAGGCGCTGCGATTCGCTGTGCAGAGTTGTGTCCCTTGGGCACGCCAAAAACCTTTGATTGTGGGTTCGAATCCCGGTTCCTGATTATGTTTCTAGGTTTGTCAGCACCATACCCGTGCTCGTGGGTTTCACCAAAGTGATAAACATCTGAGACCTGCATCACTTCGGGCTTTCCTCCCACATTAAGCTGACACGCTGTGATATAACTGGAATACTGTTAAAAGCGGCGTAAAACCCAACTCACTCACTCACTTAATCCTAACCCTCACTTCTCCCCCACGGAAACCCCCTTACACAAACTATATAAACAAATCTACATCCTCATTTCTCCCCCACCCAGCTAAATCAAACCTATTTTATAATTTAACTAGTGAGACATCTTGTTAAACAAGAGACTGTTACTAACTTTCCCCGCACCGGAGTGGACTTTCGTGTCGGGGAATCCCGAGCTCTTAAGACACGTACTGAATGCTGCAGTACCATGTCCTTATGTGCCACTAGGCTGACCCTTGACCTGATTAGGGAAAACTCCTGTGGTACAGCCATTGGCCAGCAACGCTGAACGGACCAATCAGGGCGTTCCTACCATATTGTGCTCGGCGCATCATAGCTTGTGGCGGAACATACAACACGCGGCTCGAGCACTCAAGTAGGAAAACACCCACCCCCAAACGACCAAAAGGAAACAATTTACGGCCAAAACGTGTGTAATAAGTGAGATAATTGACTACAAGATACTTACAACGTCCAGACGTACTTATATCGAATTTATAGGATGTTTCTTATAGGTTCTAAAAATAGCCACCCGATGTCCCTTACTTATGTTAAATTACGTGGTCTCCTACACCATAAAAAGTACTCGTTTCGTAAAAATGGTATCTTAGGAGAATGAGTGTAGTATATTCTCTGTGACTTGCATACTCCAAAACAGATTTGCTGACATGCTTCATCCGGTGTTGTGTGCATATGATAATGTTTTCGCATTGCGAAATAAAATAGAAGCTCATTATAGGGGTTATTATGGTAGTCCAAATGTAGTTAAATAGTGTATTCCAGTATTTGTAGGGAGGCCCTTTCCCAGGTTGATTTTACACAACTGTTTATATCGTTACATGCTAGTTCGAACAACCAACAAAAAAAAGGCTGCCCACCTGGACTATATTTTCAAAAGAAACCAATTCTTTTATTCTTCTAAGCCTTACCAAGGATTTACATGATCACTTTAATCCACATTCCAGATGAGGCAACACCATCACCTGACTAAAACACTGTTGAAATCACCTTGATTACTGTGGATTATTTTACAACAAATGTTATTCAATAAAATATATCGTACACTACCATGACTACAGGGTTATGTTTGGTGTTGTGATACACATTATGTTGAACGTTGCAATATTATGCACTGCTCGTATTTATCACAACAAAGATATTTCTTTTTCATCTTGAGAATATTAGTGCAGGACTTGTATGTGTGTGTTGAAATGGAATAAAAAACAAAGGTAGTACCGCAGATAAGTTTATCTAAAAAGTTGACTTTGTGTTTATTCTAAGCAGTTGATTTTTAGTTCATCTTACCTGTGTTTGTAGTCATCCTCAAAGCAGAATGTTATTCACAGTGCATACGTTCTGTTTTTCACTTTGTTACAGGTCGTGTACCAGTGCCAGACACTAGGTGGGACCATCTAGTTGAGCACTACAAGCCTGTCAGGTATACCTTTTGCCTATCCAGATGGACACAGTAGTTAATCCCTGCTCTTTCATTTGATTGCAGTATATATTATATTCAATAGAACACAGAAAAACAATAGTTAATGATGGTGACTTTATTTTCTCCAGCCACAAAGTGGGGTGAGGGATATAGGAATGGAGTTCATCCTTCCGTCTGCTAAAGGGGGACAAATTTTCTCAAGAATGACAGGTGGAATGGTGAAACAGTGGTTGGGTTGTCCTGGAAGCTGTTTTTTGGCCATAAAATGCCAGCATAACCTGAGGTGAACTCTGTCTGCCAGCACATTCCAACAACCAGATATGTGCTGGACCAGGAAGCACAGACCCAGTCGATCCACCAGGTTGAAAAACTTGAACGTTTGTTTGAGAAGAGAGTGTGAGTGAGTTGTCCCCTAATTTCGCAGGCACCAGACCATTGTGATGTCGGTAGAAAGGGCTAGTTGGGTGTTTCAGTGGGGGCTTCTAATATGAGCACATCCTAAAACTCCAGATGTGCCATGTGCACTGTGTGCAGGATCTAAGCCCCAATGCTGTCTGATCCTCTGGATGTGCACCCCAACCCTTCAGAGATGCATCTACAAATAGATGTGACTTTGGGGATAGCTAAGTTAAGGAGACACCTCCTAAGATGTTCATCTCTACCGCCCACCAATTGAGGTGAGTCTTTAGATGGGCCGGTAGAATGATGGATACAGCAAGTCCTGCCGTCAGATATGAGGAGCATAATTGCAACTAACCCCTGATCGGCAAGTCCTGTGCTGACATAAGCAGTCACAGAAGGGCAGCAGACAGATGGATGGTGTAGGATCTTGACCCATGTGTGCCATGGCACTGTTAAAGGGTCTAGATCTGTTTGGAATAGACCTCCTATGAACTGGGGTCGGTAGGATGGGATTAGTTCCGACTTCACCTCGATCACTCTCCAACCAAGTTGGTGAAATCCCGGTGACGGGTTAGGATCGCCGCAACTTGATGGTTCAGTATGTAGTCATCTATTTACAACTTGAGCCAGATGTTCCTCATGTGCACATAGGCAGCTATTGGCTTGGTAAGGCAGGTAAAAAGCCTCTGAAATGCCAAATGGTAGGACCGCTCACTGGTAGTGGATACCATTGAACAGGAACCTGAGGAACCACCGGTCCCTGGGATGGATAGACACATGCAGGTATACGTTCTGCAAGTTGAGGCTCATCAGGATCAGGGAGTCGTAAGCATTGAGGCCGAGGCTGCCTCTGAATGTCCACTAAGTTTCCCCCTAGGTTTCCCCCTCCAGTCCCCGCTCCTACCTTTGGAATTATCCCTACAGGATTGATTGCCTTGGCCTCTGCCCTTGCCTCGTCCTTTGCCATGAAAAGAGGACTGATCAGTAGTCTTGTCCTTGAGAGGTGAGCGCCTTTGTTGATAGTTGCCTGACTTAGACGCATGATGACCAAGGTTCCAGAGCCTTGAGTGCTGTCTTGTCTTGAGTGTAACTCCAGACCTTGGTTTGAGTGTCAATCTAGCCATTGGAAGTGTTGTGGCCAACAATGTCTGACGAGGTAACCAATTCGGAATCCCAGTTGGACAAGGCCAGATACCCCAGATAGAGCATAGCGGTGAAGGCCGCCTTCAAGTGATTGCACATATGATCAATATGCCTCGTGTTAGGAGTCCACGTGATTGATCCTGTTGGCTTTGGTCTCAGTGAGGTCTCTATCCATAGCCCAAGATAATGGGGCTAATGCCGACAAGGTTTTGAGGGATCGCCTGGTCTCCGTTTCTATGAAGGAAAAATGGTTGTCAGGGATCTTGGTGGTAATAGGCTTGGATGAGATTCGTTCAAGTCATGAGCATGGTTTTCCACCCCAAAGGCATGTATGGGAAAATCATGCCCTCTGAACTTGGGGACCTTAAATGCTGGTCAAAAGTCTCATCCAGTGCCCTGACCATATCCTTCAACATTGGGTCAGGTGGGATGGAGCCAGGTGATAGATGGTAAGCCATGCACTCTGGCACCTGGGTAAGTGCTGAGCTAATGTCCGTCAGAGGAGTGTGTTAGATAATGCTCTGAACAGCGGAGAGGAAAGTGGCTCCTGTTGCATCGTTTGGATTTAGACGCCCTGGAGGATTGCCTGAAGGATGTGCCAGGAGATAATGAATCCTGTAACGAAGACGGGGTACCGAAGCCCACCTCAGGCACAGCCATAGACGTAGATTGGACTGAAACAGTCGCCATTGTCTGTTGAGCAGAAGGTGCTGGGGGCACTTTAGGTGCTTGTGATATTACACAAACTTGGGTAGCTTTGCTAATCTTAGTGCTGGCATAGGTTGCTGAAAGGTAGGCGCAGTTGCCTGAAGGAAGGGAGGTGCGTGTGCTTGTTGAAATATGGCCTACATAAATGATTGCATCCACGTTGGGTCCATGTATGATGCCGGAGGGAAGACAGCTTGTGGTGCTGGCGGGAAGGCGGGAGGCATTATGAGGGGTGGTCAGGCGTAGACGTTAGACCTGAAGGCGCAGCCAAGGTAGAGTTAGCAGGTAGCGCAGGCATCGTTAGAGGTGCCTGAAGGTGCTGGTCTAGTAGATAAACCCTGAGGTGTGTAGACAGGTGCTGCAGCAGACATAGTTAATGTAGTAAGCTGCGTTTGCACTGTGGACACTGGTGTAGCCTCTGCCTGGGACGTAATAGGTGAAACCAAAAACCAAATTAAATTGAAGTTGTAAACAAGTTGAGTGTCCAATTATATCGGAGAGACACAGGTTTTTATTCAAGATAATGGATTTGTGTTATAAAAAACGTATAACACAAAAGTGAACGAAGAAACGGGTGAGAGTGCAAGCAACTAAAGTAAATTGAGAGAATTCATGTAGAAGTTTCTAAAACTACGGTATCTAATTAATGAGAACAAACAAGGTGTACATTCACGATAATGGATTTATGACATAATATGACGTATGTTACACTATAAACGTTGATAGACAGCTAGAGGTATTTATATGCAATGCTAATACCTTGCTGACAATGACCTACTGAAAGACCGCGACATGTTAGCATGTTAAGATGGCGGAACAGAGCAACAACATGTGAAAGATTGTGACAAACTGTCACCACCACGTGCTTATGTTAAATATTATTGCATATGTATAACATCATACCAGATGCCACCGTTCACAGGGGGAAGGGACTAGGTTGAAGGTTAAGTTGAAGACCACAGGAACAGAAAAACAGCAGAAAACCTGGGACCAATTTATCAGCACATGTTATCTGTTCCTTCTTCTTCTCATCAGCTGGGGGGGGCGGTCGGGTAGCCTAGTGGTTAGAGCATTCGATCGTCACGCCGAGGACCCGGGTTCGATTCCCAGCATGGGTACAATGTGTGAAGCCCATGCATTTCTGGTGCCCCCCTCCCCCCCGTGATATTGCTAAAAGCGGCGTAAAAACATACTCACTCACTCACTCCATCAGCTGGACCAATCACAGCTTCATTACTGTCAAAAGTAAGCTGATAATGCATTAAGGAATAATGCAGGATAAGCGAAAAACTATTCACAATGATAACTGTTCAAATAATTTCTTCAAAGACACTGCCTCTATTACTTCATAGCCAGAATACACCAGAGGGATCGGTGGGATCTGGCATCTGGTTTCCCTAAGACTTCAGTTTTGTTGCCTCTTGTGGTATTATATCATGTTTATGGGGTCACTTCCAGTTCTGATGTCCTCAATGACATCACTTGTGGTTCTTAGATCACTTATGATGTCACTTCTGGTTATATTACCATTTCTAGGTCTTATAAACATGACATCATGATGACTGATGATGCCACTTCTGTTTTCCTGTCAGTGATATTTAATGTTATATTTACATATATTAAACATTATTCCGGTACTGACGTCTACTGTGACGTCACTTTGGTGGTCAGTACAATGATACATAGAAACATCATTAATGCCCATATTTGGGCATATATCAAATTTTTAAACTTATCCTATCTCACACTTTGCATTTCTTCTTATTCTTCGATCGTGGTGTGGAAACGTCCCAGAACAAAGTTTCCAGATTCAAAATACACCAATCACCCCAACACATCCCATACATCACTAAATCACCACTGTGATCATTGCCAGTTAGGTTAGGAGGAACTATACACTTGTCACACATCGACAGGACACAGGTAAACACTTCATGACATTTATTGGCAACCCTCGAAACGAGCGCAAAACCCAAGCGAGCCTCCCAAGACAGGCGAGTCCTTCAAGGGGAGCTAACCCTGCATTAATACATGCCAAGCAAACCTGCGTTGGCGCATGGGTTACGCACTACTGCAATCCCGTGCGACACGATCCCTGCGATCTGATCACCTGACATATCCAGCACCCTCATTCTCAATTCTATCGCCTGAATGTCAAGACGTCACTTGAACAGAGAATAGTTTTGTTTTTGTTTTTATACAAGTTAAATCCATAATAAAATGACGTATAGAGTCGTTACGCCCCCGTTGCTCCGATTGCAATGGTCTGTTTTCCCCTCTCGATCCCTACCTTATTTGTTGTGATTGTCATGGGGTATGTGAGATTGCAACACGATGTGAACAGTTTGCTAACTTGTCTGAATCGTATTTCAAAACTTACCTCCGTAAGTGTTCTAAATGGTCAGCTAATCGCAGGTTCAAGGCATCTAAGGATTCCGAGCACGGTCCTTCCTCCGCGAATAAACCCAAGGGACTTGTATTATATCATGTGACTGTGCCTTAATCTTCTTGCAAGAAGAAAGGAAATAAATCTGCTTTCCGTTGAGGAAGATTTGCTATCCAAGTTGTTTTTGAATGCCGACATTCCTGCTCTTGAACGGACCACGCCCCTTGCACGTGACGGCTCACTGTCTCCTACAGTCGTCCCACTTTCAACTGACCACCGGACTGTGCTATCATCTGACCCTTCCCCCTTATTTTGAAGATAGGGGTCTTCCTTGATGCAACCTTGGGAAAGTCTGAACAGA